CATAATGTCCAAGTGCTTATTCCTCTTTCTACCATCCTGAAATGTTATGTAAGGGTGGATACTATAAACAGATGTGATACTCCATGAAACACATACTCCAGACAGCTATGAGGCTTGAAGTTAAGCAAGTTCAGGTAACACAATCTCCTCTCTGCCATTTTGGAGTAGGGCAGTAGTGAGAACTGCCAGCTGGCGGTCCTGAGGATTCCTAGGGATTAAACTTTTTTATTCACCTACAGAACCTTTCTACAAGCAATGTCTACACTGTTTTTTCTCCATAACCTTATATTTCTTGCCCAGATTTTAAAATTTTCTATGTTTATTAGAGAACATTTAGCCTTTGGGTTAGTTCACAAAGGAGCATCACTTTTATGCACTGCTGTCACCCACATACAGCTTTTTTTGCCTTTATCAACCCAAAAGCAAACACCATTTTTTCCACATTTCAAGTGGTAGCAGGTTGAGAAAGTAAACAAAAAAGTAGTCCTTGAAATGCAGTTTGCGACCCTGGGAAAATACTGCAGTGAAGTTACCCTACCTTCCCCAGGATATCCAGCTTCAATTGTATCTTTAACTTCACTACAAGGACTGGCAATCTGCAAAGCTGATTCGTGGCTAAATTAGATGCTGAGAAGTAGATAACAGAGTTACAGAAATGGAATTTGGTCCTCGTCTTTCACAGCATAATATTTTTAATGTAACTTTGTATATGAACAACTGGTAGCAGTACGAGCAGGAAAGATAACATGACCTCAGTGGAAGACCAACCATGGAAAAGAACATAAGATCACTAACGGAAGAAGAAAGAGGGATGAAATACTTGAGATGATGACCAACGTACTGGCCTTCTGAGATGGGGTGGATAGTGATATAGTCTCTGACTAATAAAAACACTGGTTGCCATATGTTGAAGGTGGATGGTTTTTTTAAATTATTATTATAACCATGGCTTGCAGTGTTACTAAATAAAATCATCATCAAGTTTCCAAACATGGCATCCTCCCAGGATAAGATTCACCTCTATTTCTCCCCTTTGGAGTTCAAATTAAACCACTCACACTTCTACAGAATATCACTGCACGCTGTCACTGCGTGGGGATCACCACAAGGAAACAGCAGAAGGCAGAGATACACCAGTCTCTGCGCCCAGAATAAGTCCCATAAGAAGCAGTTGTAACAAACTGTGGGATGCCTATATAGGGATGCTAGTAAAAAAATCTCAAGTATCTACTTTGTTGATAGCAATGTTTAGCCCTGCCCAGCACTTTATTGTCTCAGAAATACCACTCATTAGTGATGCTTGTGTGTTATAAATTATTACCCCTATGTAAATTACATATAGAATATAAATAAGCAATTCTGCACAGCCATGTGTCAAATCAGTTGGGGAGCTGGCAAAAACTGTGAGGGTGTTCTTGGGTCTCAGTCCCACACGCAGCTTAAAAGAGCAAAATGCCAGTTTGTACACTTCATAAATTAATTATCCCCAAAACATTCTGGCACTCCTCTTCCCACGCATTTCTTTCTCCTCTGAAAGAACTCAGGAGAGCATCTAACTCATCTCCAGATGATAATACCAGAAAGGTATTTTTGCCAATAAATAATCAACAGGAACACAACAGGACAACAGTCCTCCCTAGCAATGTGCTTCTAGGTAAAACTGCACTGGACAGTGAAGTGGAACAGGAAAGAGAAAGTATAGTGAAACTTCTTAGGAGTAACATTAGTTTTAATGCCAAAAACTGGTTGACTTAACATTTTTCTGCCGGTTCCAGCGTTAACAATTTTGTTCTAGCACTGCGTAAAGGCTTTGTGTGCTATAAACCAACAAATTTTAACTTCACATGTATAGCTCATGCATCTTTGCGTGCAAAGTGATTCTCAAACAAGCTGCAAAATAAAACTGAGTTAGAAAGGTTGCTAAAAAATAGTCATTTTCAAGCATGTGCAAAATTTGCAAGGTCTAATAGGTGTCAGTTTTGCCTCTGGGAACAGACAATTCAAACAAACAAAAACCACAAAACCCGAAGGAAAAACAATTGCAATAACTCGTTCAGGTTACATCTCTTGGTGCCTTACCTTTCTCGGAAAGGTCAATCAGCTCCTGGTGGATTCGATGTCAAAGCCAGCAGAAGGCTCTATAAGTGACACAGTAAGCACCACTTGCCTTGATATTTAAACACTCCTTTGTCTCATGCCCTCTCAGCATTGAGCTGGGTATGGGCAGCCCAAGGACACTCTACTTTGGTTCTCCCCATATCATTGTGCACCTGATAAATGTGTTTTATTTTACCTGCTGTTCATTTAGCTTCCTTTGTATCTCCTCAGAGTCACAAGTTTCATAGATAATAGGTTTGGACAACTCTGACTCAATGTGGGCAAGCCAAGATCTCAGGCTACTCATGTTTTTATCCAGCTGCTGCACTGCAATAAGGGTCTCCTTCAACTTCTTTACCCTGTAAAGAAAACGAAATGGCAGCATAAGGAGAATGAGAACAACACCCTGAAGAATAATTTCCACAGCATGTGTTTCAGAGAAACTTAACTTAGATGGCAAGTTCTGTTCTGAAGTCTTCCTTTATTATATAACAGAAGTATATTATACGTGCAAATAGTCCTGCATCCATCCAGTTAAGAAAAATTAAGAGCTTACTAATGCCAGGCAACATTTTCAAAGCTTCTGTACCTTTATCAGTTGAGTTAAATGTTTGTTAAGAAAGGAAAATTACAACTTTTTTTTTTAATGAACTCCTACGCACCAAAATCCCAAAACATTCTATGTAATCTAGTTGTGTATTTGACCAACAGATGACAAGTTCTTCTTAGACTACAAATAACTTAGCTATTTAACCAGTACTGATGGTGGAGTGCACTGAGTGAACAGGTCTTTTTCACCCCGGTGATTTCTAAACATTGAACTACATATCATAGAATGATTTGGGTTGGAAGGGACCTTTAAAGATCATCTAGTCCAACACCCCTGCTGTGGGCAGGGACATCTTCAACTAGATCAGGTTGCTCAGAGCCCCGTCCAGCCTGACCTTGAATGTTGCCAAGGGTGGGGCATCTACCACCTCTCTGGGCAACCTGTTCCAGTGTGAAGACTCGTCCTTGAATAAATAAGTTTTAGAGAGAGAAAGCTGAGAACTTCGTGAGAATTCCTGAATCTGAAGAGCTGCTTTAAGTTGTTCTTGGTCTTAATGGACTACTTCAGATTTAAACAGATGAAACTGGAATGTAACTGCATGGTGATTTCTAAGCAGTATTGTTCTTGAGACCCTGACCCTGCAACAGTAATGGCCAGGAAAAATTAAATAGTGGGTTTTTTTAATTCAAGGTAACATTAAGCGCAAAGAGTGAGGAAAAGTTGACTAAACCTTCATCCTATCTCGATATTTTTTCCTTCAGCCTGTTTCAACTGCAAAAAAGTCTGTCAGTAATTCCCTCCTTCCTATCCCCATGTTACATAACATACATTAATGGACTCCAAAATTGTTTCTAAGCTTTCTCTCTTTTTTTTTTCCATTTATGTAGTACCACAAACAATTTTGAGTAACATTCCCTTTTATGCTTCTATTGCTCTTCCACTTAAGTGTTTCAATATCAGAAAGCTTTAAGAGATGAATGCAGCTGAGAATAGACTGACTAAATCAGGTTGAAAAATACAAGATTGCCAGGTTCATCAAACAAACAAAATGCCACCTGACTATCCTATAATTCAAACAGAGCAATTCACATTTTTTCCATAATACTAACCAGCAAATTTATCAAGTGTTTCCATATTTAAAGCGGTAGTTGCAGCTGACCATTAAGAGTCTAACACAGGTTTTCTTTTCTTACCAAAGAGAAATGCAGAGATCTTAACATTAACTTAAAAAACTTGAAAGTTAAATCTTTCAAATTTTTTGTCTCTTTCTAGCCCTCTCTTTAGATCACAGATGGGCAAACTGTAGCTCTTTAGCACCAAACACGCTTAAGAACAGTTCAAATGCATCTTCCTTACCAGAGTCTCATGACCACAGCTGCAGGGTTGTGATCTGAAAAAAAAATCTTGGTAATTGGAAAAAATCTGGGTAATCTGAAAATCTGGCTATGAAGGGACTGAAGTCAACACAATTGTGCCAAAAGACTGCCCCAGTCCCCATCATCAGGTTATCCCAAAACACAGCTATGTGTTTAGGCTTGGAAAGATACTAGGAGAACAACCAGTGTCTGGGGGCACCATCTCCTCGTCACCTATGGTTGTACATACAGTGCTTTGTGGGTTTGGACCAATTGAAACTCACTCATAGGGTGAGCAAGAAGGTTGGCTATCACTCTTCTGGAACTCACATACAGCTTTTCAATCTCTGACATTAATGAAGAGGAGTGAAATCCTGCCCATTTTCTGCTTAGATTTTCAAGGCTGGATGCCTTTGCAGGCATGCTGGAGTGGGAAAGGGAACAATGACTTGTGTCAGCCCTGTGTAGAAGCAATGTCACTCTATCATTTGCAAGCCCAAGCCGTGGACCAGGCTTTTCTTGTTTGCAATTGTATAGTACCCTAACCTCTGTGCTGGATTTTATTTACATTTTGCCTGCAACATCTGATAAAGGGCCATCATTTAGAAAGTGCCCTCTTTGCTTCAGGCAGACTGCATGAGAATACATCCCTGCCAGAGCAAAAAACAACACCGGCTCAAACAGAGCTATTTTCAGTCACATGACCTAAGTTACTCAAGAGAGAAAAAGAAAAAAAACCACAACACACTAAAAGAACGCTCCAACCAAAACCAAAACCTACTGCTAAACCTGCCCTCCCGCCAAACTGTTGCAATTCCCTGCACCTAAATTCCGAAAGTTAAAAAAAAAAAAAAGAAAAAAAAAGAAAAGGACAACTCCCTTCCTGACCCCCCGCTACATTTACTGTTAATGCTGTTCTTTTTTTGTACTGAGTCTAACATAACAGGTTCCTTGCCTATAGTACAAACAGAAGCAAATAAAGAAGTGCTTCTTGCAGTATTTTGGGCTTACTTTTTTTGACTGAACTGCAATACAGTGTTGTGCCTCTAGCTACTCTGAAAACATATCTGTGAAAAAATAATACATGTAATCCATCATGTCTAAGAGTTTTCCTTCTGAATTTTAGCAGGCAAGATGCCTATGCTCTTCATCTCATTGAATACTGTGCCTGTGTACAAATAATTACACATGTGTGCAACAAAAATCTCTCTCTCTTAAAAACGTAACAGCTCAAAATCCTATCTTTCCATGCTAATGGCGGGGCCTGAAAGCTAATGAAACTAAAAGCTCTGCTTAGAGACAAAGGTCAAATTATAAACCATTCAAGTATGTGGGATCCCCAGACAACTGTAATTTTGACCTTTTGAGATTTCATTTACAAGATTATGTTTAAACAGTTAAGTATTCCAATAATCATCTCATGCTTTTGTTGCAGCACTATGCATGTTACTGCGAGAGACTTGAGATAAGTCCTCTCCGTGACAATGAAGATTCAGCCTTGGAATCAAAGGGTTGGACCCATGACATGGTGGTTTTAAAGGTTGTTTTTTATATAACACACACACACACACACATCAGTCTTGCTACATTTTACAAATACTTAAGACTCTCAGAAAGGAAAATATTGCAGAATTAAACTATTTGTTTTTATGGTTTACTGACAAAAACCCATCTGAAAATTTGAATGGGCTTATTATGCTTACATTTCCATGTTCCAATTACTGTACCTCATTTTCCCCAAGAAAGTAATAACTTTAAAATGTCTATTTTACATTAAGAAAAGGCAGTGAGAGAACAACTTGGAGCTGAAATTAAGCACAAATAGCTTTAATTCAACTAAATTAGACAGCCTTAGATTCCACTTAAAACTAAACAGGAACAACCCTGTAAATACATAACAATGCATCATATAGAACTCATAGCTACTGCGTTAGTCATTTAGACAGCTGGTTACTAATATTAAACTTTAAAAGGAACATGAAAAAAGGCAGTAAGAGCATGTTAGCTAAGTCTGTACAAACCCAGTAGAAAGCTGAAAAGCTTTTTTTTTTTTAAAAATCTACTTGGAACTGGAGACAAAGTCTCAAGAAACACTTACTCTATGAAATAATGAAAAATAATACATTATTAAAATCAGTTTTTTTAGAAAAATCAATTTGAAAATAATCTTTTTATGATTAAAAAATATTTATTGTCCAAAGTACAGTACTACCGCGTACCAAGACACTAGTACCGCCAGTTATATTTGCTCTTTAGATCACAGTTTCCCCTTTCAAAGAGTAAATTTCTAAAACTCTGAACAGCAGCAAAACTTCTAGAAAAGATAATGTGAAGGGGGAAAAAGAGAAGTGGAATCAAAAATCCAAGATGATGTAGGCCGAGTTCAAGTATTATATACAGTTACAAAACAGTCATTAATATGTACAGGACAGACCAGCTTCGGTAAGTCTGAAATACTTTCTTCACAGCCTCTCTCCTTCTCTGCCTTTCGCTTGTAGCCATGCCCCTTTGATGACACAAACAGTGAGCAGACAAATACAAAGTCTGCTTTCTCTCATGTGTGTTCGTGCTCTTGTATTTAAAAACAGCAGTAAAACCAGTCTACAGTTTCTTTCAGACAACTAAGAGATTTTACTAGTTCTAAGTCTGCATCAGCAACAAAAAATTATTCTGGGATCAAGAACCACTAGCTGCAAAACAAAGTATGCTGTTACCACTGTCAACTATTTTTAAACTGAGCAGAAAACAGTAATTTCTAGCTAAGGTAGTGATTTCTACATATCAATATTTCAATTAGTTTCCCAGCAAGCCAAGACTTCAGAAAGAACCGTATCAATCAAAAGCAAACAAAAATAGCTGCCTGCCTTGTGATATCACAATTACAGTCTGGGAGATCTGAATCCACACTGCCGTCCTCCGCCATCCTCACAGCACGCAAGTCCTCTGCCACCACCATGAAATTTTCCAGCATTAAAAAGAAGAACTTCCACTCCAAAAGCCTGCAAACACTGTGCTTTGTGCGGGGGGGAGGAAAAGGGACACACTTCTCTTTGCCGGTGAGTACTGTACAGAAAATGTTGCACGCCAAACAAATGTTAGCAGCCGTTGCTTGATAACATGAGACTGAATGGTGACAAGTGGTCATGTTTCTAAATAAAACTTGCACTCGTCAACATGTGCCAGACTTGATCTCCAGGAATGTGGACTGTGAGTGCTAGGGGAAGGGATGAAAACACATATAACAAAGCTGCCTTTGCAAAGCCTGAGCAGTTGCAGCAATAGCACTGCTTCCCGGCTGTAAACATCTGTAACATTTTTTGCACCAGGCTGACATATCAGAAAAATTCATCTGAGAGGATGAAAATGTTCTAGAAGGACAGAAACAGAAGTCTCTAATGCAGAGACACAGCTACCTTTCTGTAGCTGTCTCTTCCGCAGTTACAGACCTTCTCAGAATGGAGAGGCAACTAAAAAAAGTGGGTAAGGAAACAGAATGTGAGAAAGGAAGAGGCTTTACAAATGAATGGAGAAGTTCCACCACACAGCATAAAATCAACAGGTAAAGATTCAGACCAGACACATATTACCATACTATATTACTAAGGCATTTTCATAGAGCACTTTCTATTCGTTCACGGCTGTAGAAAACAAACCACTAAGAAAAATGCTCCAGGCAGGGGATGACTGTAGCTTAGCAGAAAAGCACACAGACTCTAATAATTTATTAATGCTGTCAGGGATCCAGAATATGAAAAGATGTGTTTTATTCTCAACACCAGAACAATTAATCTGCTTTTACTAGCTGAGTGCAGCCAAAATCATGTTATATGATACATTCCAAACTCCGAAGTATCATAACAGGAACACATCCCAATATATCATAACATACTCTAAAGAGCCTCTGGAGCCTTCTAGAAGTTATCTTGGGGGATGCAAACGCTTTTGTCCAGTGGGAATTAGACATCAATACAAGTACTTTGTACATACCTTAATCAACAACTTGGGCTTTAACTGCTATCAGCCTAAGCTACAGCTGAACTAGCAAAATTTCCGCAACCTAGCATCAAACCTCTCCACCATTTACTTCCCAACTTCAGCAACGCAATGTTCAAACTTTGCAGAGTTTTTTTTCATTTCAGTAAGCACTGAAATGGAAAGGATTATATGTTTAATTGCATACAATAGTGCTGAGCACACTAATTGAGAAGGCTAAGTTGAAATGATCTGGAAATAGAAGTAAATAAATATTTTACATAAATTAGTTTAGAACTAGGACTTGACACCCTGCTTCACGATAACAGAATGAGAAAGTTTAAGTGTATAATATTGCGGTTTATATCTCCCCACCCCAAGAATGATACAGAACCCTGAACCCTTACCTGTCCCTATAGAGGACACTAACCTCTAACACTGAATAGACAATACAGATCTTTTAAAGATATGTTTTGCAGTTTCTGAATGCAATCACTTTTCACTAGAAACTTCCTGACAGTATTATTCAAACATTTGTCTGAGTAGGTGTTTCACAAGACAAACACAAAAATATGGCAAATATGCTTTATGTTCAACAACTGGTGATGTATCACATCCTCTGAAACCAGCAGGTTCCTCGACCGTAATGCACCACTTCCTGACTTAATTGTTCTGTAAGAAATATACAGTGTTCATTACTTTAAAATGAATCACTATAAAAGGAGCTGGAGCCACCAGAATGCTTCTGCTTACAGAAAATTTACTGTTCCCATGCTTACAGATTTCAGAGCAGGAAGGCAGTAAAACCATATGAAAAAAGAATGGACGAAAAAAGATGACGAAACTAAACAAACCCTTTTGCTGCTAACAGGACTAAAGTATTACTAATTCCTATGCCCTTACATCACAGAAGTGTAAAATATAAAAGTATATGTACATTTTATGAAGTGCAAAATTGTGACAAAATTATTGTCGGTAGTGGGAGGGAGGCTGTAGATGACTCAACAGAAAGTATTGAAACAAATAAACCAGTTTCTTCACATGTCAAACGACAATCCTGTATTTCTTTAAGTTATGAAAATTGCTGCTATATTTTTGACCTTGAGTAAAAAGAATCTTTAAGCCCAATGTGCATACGTCTACGTGCAGTTACTCTTCTCCATCAGTGAAAAAATAACCAGGCAGAAAAACTTAGTTTTGGAACTCCTTTTCTCAAAATCCAAAACTACAAATGCACTGTTTCGATTCCTCTGCCAAGAGTTTTTTAGAAAAACTACATTTGCACCCAGTTTTAAGCACTCATCTGAAGTAAGATGGCACTGGAGCAAGGCTCACTAAATCTGACTGCAACCGATTTTATGTCATTCTAGCAGATAATGTTTTGAATTGACTTTTCTTGAAGAAATGATGTCAGATACTGTAAAGTAAAACAGGAAGGTGAATTTCACAGAAATGTGTTGATGGTTAAAAATAAACTCATTTCACAGTTAATGATGAAAAAATCAGACAATAAAAAGATTTTAAATTCATGACATCCAGCATATTAATCTGTCCCACATAGAACTTAGAACTTAGAAACAAAAAACCTGTTTTACCTGGCTGCAATAAGATCTAGAAGATGTTGCCACCTGTCATTGATCTTGCCAAGTTTGTACTCAATCTCTGATGCCTTACTCTCATGGCTGGCTTTAGCAAGTCGCTCTCCCATTTGCTGGAGCTGGATTTTGTTCTTCTGGGCTACAGCAATTTCCTCTTGGTAATCCTGGACAGTAAAGAGCAATCAGAAGTCAGGGTACTTATTCTGAATACACTTTGCTCTACACTACTAAAGGAACCATATAAAAATACAAGTGAATGTTGTTTTTTTGGTGATTGGTACAGTGGAGAGACAACCTCTTAAATATTAGATGTATAACTGTGAACAACTTTATCAGAAGAATGAAAAAAGCCCAAAACAAAACACAATGCCTTTATAAATATATCTGCTATAGTTAAACTTATCACAGGCAATTCTGATTGGACATTTAGTAAAGCATTCAGATGCCTTCGGCTTTGCATTCACTTAATTTTCTGGTATCCTCGGAGGTCCTACCTCAAGAAAGACAGGAAAATGATGCATAGCAAGAGAACACAAACACACAGTCTTACCGGAACTTGTAAACATCAGTGTAAGGTAAAACCTCCATTTCAGCTAATTCAGTATCCTCTTTGCAACACAAAACAAATAAGCAGTTAAAGAACAGTATGTAAGTGTACATGCACTGCACTATACCTTTTTAAGTTTCTCAATCATTTCTTCTATGAGGATGTCGCCATTTTGAGAAACCTTACTTTCCATTTGCGTCAGCCACTCACAGAGCTCCTTGTTCTTCTCACTGAAGACAGCCCACTCATTCAGTCTCTCACTAACTTGTTGTCGACGTAAGGAGACCTTAAAACATTTGCGGTGAGTAAGTAAAAACAAAATAGTAAATGCATATAAGAGATGCTTGAAACAATTTGTACCTCAGTGTGAACTCCACTGGCCCTGCAAAAGTGTTCCAGCCACTAATTTGCCATTAAAACAAACTGGAGTTGTACTGCAAAAGCTTTGTGTGACTCTGTGAGTTTAGAGGTAAGTGTTAATCTCAGGTTTCCTGTCAGCTACATCCTATGCATAGAGAGGGGCATCCAAGCGTTACACTCAGTAGCCTGTCAATATCTTGTTTTATAATGTCTCTAACCCAAAGGTTACATTAGAAGATAAAAAATTAATTTTCTTACAATTTTTGCTCACTTATAAAATGTTATAAAGTATATTAACAGTTTCTTTTTAGTTTAAGAGATTAAATAAAAAAGGAAGATATAAATGCTTGACCAAAGCAAAAAAAAAAAAAAGATATATACATAGCATAGGCCAAACTCCAAAAGACTGTGTAATTTGTGCATAAGCATGATTTGTAAGTACAAAGCTAAATCAAAGATCCACTACATTTTGTGTAAGCAATTTTCTACTTGGGTCTCAATATACTCATTTCATGGACGACTATTTCTCCTGAATGGGCATGACACCTTGAGAGATTCCAGAGGACTAAGGTGTGCCCTGACAGGAAAGTATAGGCATAAAACATCGAACAGGCAAATGCTGTAGTTAATACAGGAGGAAAGAAAACATTGCTATGTTTAAGAAATTGCTATAGCAGTGGTACCATCTCAGACTATGAATAGTAATAGACAAAGATGGACATTGAAATCAAAATAGCAGCAGAGAGTGAGCAGCAAAGTAATCTCTCCAGTTTCAGACATTTGTACAACTAATTACTTCCTCCCCCTTGTAATCTGCATTGTTTCTGACTTTATATCAGCATTTCAGCTGAGAAGATGAAGACTGCGTCTGCTCTTTCATAAACAAAAGTGATGTGTTCTTTAACTACCGTGTTAGGTTTAACAGGGGCATACATGTGATCTCTCACATTTCCTTTTTGCGGTTCTAAACCTGATGGCAGCTTTCCGGAAATAAGCAACAGTTGAACAAAGTGTTGCACTAGGTTACATCCTGAAACATCCATGAAATGCACAAAACGAAGATAAAACTTCTTTACTTGGCTCCCTTCTTTACCATAAACATGCGTGCATTGACTACACCATAGTTCAGATGTATCTACATTAGCTCATTCAAATGCAACTAACTCATAACAAGTTCTGTGCTGTTAACTGTGAAGAATTTTTCCTACTTTGTGATTGTTTTTGAAGCCTTCACAGGTACCTTACATGAGGTAACTATTTCAAAGTCAGTGCCAGTATATCTGGACTGCAATCTCTACTGAACCACAGAAATAACATTAGGGTAATCTGAAAAGCTGGGTGAGGGAGACTCCACTACCTGTATTTCTAAGTGCAAAATGGAGGCAAGAAACATACTAATGGCATGATGCACCTGAAAAATCAAACAGTACCCCTCAGCTCATTTCGCAGCCAAGCAAGGCATGCTTAGACTAAGAGAAATGCAGACACCAAAGTCTGAAGAAGCAGAAGCTATCAGCAGAACTGAAGGTACAATACAGTAATGTTGAGCGGGGAGGGGACATCCTGTCCGAGCACAGATCCTCCACTAAACACAGTAAACTGTATAACTTCTGTGTTTTCCGTAGCCAGCCATGCCACCGTCCCACAGCACACAGTGTGAGTTTTTTATTGGTTTTTCAAGGCTGCTTAAATATGACCTCATGACCATGACAAAGTTCAAGAGATCTAGAAACATTAGCAGTAACTAAAGGAAGCGTTTCAACGGATATTTTCCCTGATTCAGCCAGAGTTCAGTTTTGAATCTGAGTGTGCCTACATGCATCTTTTCTAAAAGCTGCCACTTGCATTCAATTTTTCTCCCAACACTTTTGTAGCCTGCATACTCATAACAGTGCTCAGTACTATACTTGCCTGGTGGCACAGCTCCTCCCACTGCCTGTGCAGAAGCTCTATGCGCTCACTGAGGATTGAGATATCATCTGTGCTGATATATACAGACAGGGTCTCCTTCATCAGAGAGAGGTGTGCAAGGTCATCTCTCCATCCTTCAACAGCATTCTCTAACTCCTTAAAAGAAGTGCACAAGGAAAAAGGACCAGTTTGCTAACAAATAAAAATTTGAATGTGTTGATGAAGCACAAAGACAAGCATTGTTATCCCATTGAATTAAAGTCATATCTGAACAGACCCATCATTTCAAGTGGACTGTTTCAGCCCCATTTAAAAGAAAAAGAAAACACTAACCCCATATGTACCAATATTTTCAGAGTTATGAGAGAGGTAACTCCCCGATAGAGAATGATACGTTAGCTTTGTAACAAGCAGTCACAAACTAATATACTACTCAAATCTCTCTAAAGTTCAAAGGTAACTGAGAATTCCAAGTATTGGTTTGGACTTCTCTGTACTGAAAATATTTTCAAGTTGTAATCCATTTCTAAACTGCAAAGAATATAGCATAAAAGTATTATCTAAGATCCCCCACAGTAATCTCACCTCAAATAAAAAGCACTAAAACAACAGTTTAGATACCATGAGTTTAAATTTGAAGTTAGAATTTCTGTAATAAAAACACATCAGTATTTAGCGCTTCTACAGTACTTTTCAGACCCTGTTCTGATCTCACTTTGATCAGATCTATATTTACCCTGCAGGATTTGCATTATAGTGAGATCACTCAGGTATTACGCTGCCCAAATGTTACATGGATAGTTTCTTGTCACAGGGATGGCTGACTGGTTTGCACAGTCAGTAATATGAAGCCTATTAACAATGGAAGAGGTTACTGCACAAAGGCAGGTAAAGATGAGACAACAGTCAACAGAGAACAAGTGCTTTACCTTGCAACGAATCTGCTCTGCATGCAATTCATCATGGTGTTCTGGCAAAGGCTGAGAAAGCTTTTTTTTGAATGTTCTTAGCTTCTCCAGGGAGTCTCCTATGCCCTTTTCAGATTTTTCCCAGTCCTGAAGGCAAAATGTTTATTAGACTTCAATTCAGATCTGGATTATACTCATGTCAGTTGATTTACCTAACTAACCAATAAACAGTGAAAACTTTTTCGTAATAATAACAACATGCCCTGAAATCCCACTCTAAAAAATACTCATAGTCTCAGAGCTTGAGTCATGTCTACAACTGAGTCAAATTTTTTGTGTGTAGGTCTCTGCTAGTAGAACTACAAAGCCAAAGCCTCCTGTTGTTACAACATTGTCTAGATACGACTCCATCCTTTCAGAAAAGCCTCTCCCTGCCAAAATTATTTTCCACTTCCTTTCTTGAATGCCTGTATTAAACATACCACTGTTCTTTGACAAAAGCTCCATTCAGGTGCATTAATCTCCAGAAAAAAAAAAAAAAAAGTGGTTGGGGATACTGCAAATTCAGTTCAGATTGAAGTATCTGTAGTATCTTCTCTAAATTATGATTCTAGCAGCTACAGCCAGCTTTAGTGTTTGCATGCCTTCCAAAATTTTAAATGTGTCCAATGCAATCAAACCATAGCAATTGTCATGTGACACTATGGTTTTACCTGACTCACCTGCTTGTTAAAGCCTATTAAAAAGTTACTCTCAGACAGAAAGATCTCTAATAAGCCAGTCAACCCATAAAGAATGCCAGTTGTGTGATATCAGAAAATATGGAACTTTTTTCTCTTAAGTATTCTGTTTCAAGATGTTCTCCTTCTACCACCGGCTTTGTTTTCCTCTCCTTCCATTTTTCTCCAATCTATGCCAGTATTTTCATGATCATCTTCAGGATGGAAAATTACAAACAACATGTCTTGCAAAAACCCCCTCTTTTTAGTGTCTTTTTTCTTCTCTCCTTAGTAAGTTATATGACCTTATATGACAATAGTCTGTGATGTTCTTAATGCAACACATACTCTTCTAGAATATACACTTGTGCTTCACATTTGGTCATAAGACCACTAAAAAGTCATGTATTTAAGACCAAGATAGCATAATGTAATGAAGGCTTGATATCTGAGATGATTTATGCAATTTGCATGGTAATTTCCCTACTTCCTCACCTTCAAGCATTAAGTTCCATATTTTCATTGAGACAAAATGCCACAGAACCTTTAGTCCCCCTAGATAACAGCGTTCATGACTAAAATTTCCTGACATAATTCCCCCACTAGAAGCCAAGGTACGAGGAATAAGGCTTGAAAGAGGAAGAAAAATTTACTTAGCTGAACTTTTCCAAAATAATATTTCATTTTCTTGCACTGCTTTGTTGCTTCCTATTTACAAACAAAACTAAAGTGTCTGTAATTCTGTGATTCTATTAGACCTCTGAAACTATTGTAAAAGCACTTGCCCTATTCTATTAATACACACAAGTCCAATTTTCATTATCCTGCCTAGAATGAGTAAAAGGTAAAAACAAACAGACCAAATTTAAATTCCAGCCTATCATCTTCAGCACTCGAAGTGAGGTTAGCAGGCATTCCGGACAATGCTTACTTCAAAATAAAGTTCAAGGCTCCCTTCTCCAAGATCACAGAAGTTTATCTAAACTAGCAAATACTCAAGACACTGGAAGGAAACACAGACAACTACATTGCTAGATAGATCTTGACATTGGCCTGTAGAGGGAATAAGGCAGGTCTAATTTTCAAGACAGTGTGTATAAAAATTAACCAGCATTGTGCAAAATAAAACACATTTTTGCTCTCTGTTGAAAACAGGACTGATAGGAATATCCTTTATTGGCAGTGTTCTGGAAATATCAGTTAAAAGATATCAACTAACATACAAGCCTACTGTGAAGTATTACCACTCCTAGTTTCAGAGGTGGCGAAATGAAATCGTGAGCTCATGTAGCGTATATGCGATTCCTGTATTTGTGCTTACCCCTTCAGAACACTTTTCTTCAACAGGATTCACAGTGAGAAACCATGAACTTGCTGAAGAAGTACAGAAGAAATCACACACTTACTTTCAGTAGTAAGGCAAGCTGTTTCTTTTGTTGTTCCAGTTGGGTGCTAGCTATCTTCCAGCGCTCCTGAATTTCGGTAAGCTCTGTCTGCAGGGCTGCCTCAGCTCCACTGTCAGCAGAGAGCAGCAGTTGCTTCCCAGCTTCCACAGTGAGGATATAACTCCCTTGCTGCCTTAGGAGAACTTTCTCTTTAAGCTGAAATTATTAACAGTTTTCTGTCAGCTTTGTCTTTTTAATTACAATTAGCAATTCAGTATAATTCATTCTCAAGCCCATACTTTAATTGATTGCATACCTTGGCTTAAGCACGAGCTACTGCCCAACTGCTTTACCCTAATCTTTTCACAATCATTTACTGCAGCAGATCTTTAGAAAATTTCTCCAAGGAGATAAATCCTTCTGATGAAAGACTTCTTTCTCCCCATTAATATCAGTATCTGAATTGCTCTTAAAGAGAAATAGTTCCTCTAGAGACTATTATGCTTACAAGCTTTATTATTATACGTATCTTCCAGACAAAAAGCTTGAAGAAACCAAGCTGCTAAATAGATACTGTTAGTCTCAAGTGAAGATGGACACGCAAGGTATCCTTTTTTCGTTAGCTAGAATACATTCCTCTAACAGGACATAATTGTTTTTTTCAAGACAGTTTCAGTGTGACATTAGCTACAAAGCAAAAACAGAAGCAAACAAGGCTCGAGAGAGAGGGCCCAGTAAGTTCACCGTTGCATGTTCTTTATGAACTCCAACTTCATTTCCATCATACTGCTGCTTCTGAGGCTATGCCAGTTCCAAAGAAGAACTAACATCCAATATTGCTTGCTGCAATCTTAGTCTGAATCTAATACATTTTTAAGAATGTTTTAAATGATGAAGGCTGTAAAAAAGGCGGGGTTTTTTTCCTCTTTCTTCAAACACTCTGGACGTACCTGCACTTCATCCAGTAGCGCTCTGGCTTGCTGCAGTGGGATAGGAACATTGCCCAGCCCACTCACTGGCTGACAGGATATTTCCAAGAGCCACTTGCGCAGCTTCTCTGCCATCTCCCTATAGCGTTGCCACTGGTGAATCTGGCTGTCAATGATCCCCCTCCTCTGCTGTGCCCGGCGAATTACTCCTTGCCATTGATTACTTAAAAGAGTCAGCTTCAGATTAAATTCATCCCTATTATAAATAGATAAATAAATAAAAATACATAGTAACCTTCATACTTTGATCTATTTGTTTAATGAAATAAACTGAAGAGAAAGGGAAGACGTTTTCTGGCTGCCAATTATGAAACACTACGAGAAAAGCACTGAAGTCTTGTGATAGCTGACTGAGGATGAGAACTTCACACTTCACGTACTGAGAGAACCAAAGGGCTCCAGTTATTGAGACCTTAAAAAACCCAAACCTTTAACACACAAACCTCTTCTACCTTCTCCCCAGAAATTCTGATTCTGCCCCTCTACTCTGCTCTGGTGAGACCCCACCTGCAGTACTGCGTCCAGCTCTGGAGCCCTCAGCACAAGAAAGACATGGACCTGTTGGAGCGGGTCCAGAGGAGGGCCACGAAAATGATCAGGGGGGTGGAACGCCTCTGCTGTGAAGGAAGTCTGAGAGAGTTGGGGCTATTCAGAAGAGAAGAGAAGAGAAGAGAAGGCTTCGGGGAGACCTTATTGCAGCCTTTCAGTACTTAAAGGGGGCTTATAAGAAAGATGGTGGCAAGCTTTTTAGCAGGGCAGGGCGCGACAGGACAAGGGGGGAACACTTTTAAACTAAAAGAGGGTAGATTTAGACTAGATATAAGGAAGAAATTTTTTACACTGAGGGTGGTGAAACACTGGAACATGTTGCCCAGAGGGGTGGTAGATGCCCCACCCCTGGAAACATTCAAGGTCAGGTTGGATGGGGCTCTGAGCAACCTGGTCGAGTTGAAGATGTCCCTGTTAACGGCAGGGGGGTTGGACTAGATGACCTTTAAAGGTCCCTTCCAACCCAAACTATTCTATGATTTTATGATTCTAAATATACAAAGAAAACCCACAGGTTTTGCCAGTTTGGATTAGCCAAATTCACAGTAAATCATGGAGATTACACAATTCACCCTTAGATTTATTACTAAGCTCAAAGCAGGCATAAGATACCCACAGCATTAACAAAATTCTCACATCCCAATAAACAGTTCATCTCATATTTAGGACCACGATACCCTTAGCAAAGTCAATGCATATGCACAAGTGTGAAGCCACTGGTGTTTCACTGATTTTCATTCACTTCATCACAAGTGTTTAAAATAAAATCTCAGACAGCAATGAATTCCTATTCCATCACATTTAGGCTGCACGATCCTTTTGGTAGAGGCAAATCCCCAGCTGGCATAAATCAAGTGTAACTCACTAAATCTGTCACTGAAGGCTCCTTTGGTGAAAGTGACATTTTGAAAGTAAATCAAAATAGACTTATAGGTAACATGCTTGATAATCCAAGACAAATCTTTGTCAGAGAAGCAGCCTGAAGGCTGTTGTATTCCCAAAGGCATTCACACATTCACATACCCCATAGCATCCTAAAGAACATGGTCTTATTTAAGAACTGGCTAATTAATAGCTTAATCACAGTGATAGTAACTTCTACCTCAGAAGAGCATGATCTGAACGCTGACATCTGCTATCTTCTCTGTTTGAAGTCCTCCACTAGTCTAAGTATTACTTCACATAAACAGCAGCAGCAACAACAACAAAGGAATGTCTACCTGTCATCCACCCGTCCTTGTTCTAGAAGGTGCTGCCCATCAGAGATAATTGAATGCAAAATCTGCTGGCGGCTGAACATCTCTGCCTGGAATAGCTGTTGTACAGGAGACACAAATGTTAAAACAAGATCTTACATTTTAATTCTACCCATATGCACTGGTAAAAATGAATTTTCATGTACTTAATGTCATTTCAAATTTATTCAATGGGTGTTTTGTCACAAACTTAAATAGAAACACATTTAAAAATCTCATTGCTGGAGTTACTTGCTGCTTCTAGTAATTATTATTAGTTCCTTGAGATTAAAAAAAAAACCTATTAAAAAGCTAAATAATATCAACAGGAGCTAGGTTTATGTCTTTGAGTACAATTGTGTGACTGGCATTATCATTTACAACAAAATCCAGATAGAGTATTTAATGCATGGACAGAAAGGGCATGGTTTATTTTCTGACATGTTTAAGAGTATTATAGGCTTTTGCCTTGTTAAAATGAATTTATGCATGAATTGTGTGTGACAGTGTTATATAAACTTTTAATACAATTTTACACTGCCAATAGAACTTTAAAAGAAATGGTCAGCCATGTGTAGGAGCGAGATATCAATTTTCCACTTCCTCCATTTTTTCAATTTATTTTCCAATTTTCCCTATCAGTCACAATAAACTTTCACAATACTTTTAAAACTGCCTTATTACTTGAATATTACTTAAGACAAAAAATTACCTAAGTACTACTTAAGCAAAGATGACTTAAATATATACTACTTAAATTTATTTTTAAAATCTTCTTTTCTTTTAGTAATGGACCATGTGTCTAGATAAGGTTGTTCAGGAACATTCTTATATTGATAAAGGTACAGCCAGGCATCAACTCAGGACTGGACCCACTCCACGTTCAAAAGGTTTTCAGAGAGATTAAAAGAGAAAGTATACTGGTACGAAGCTTGAGGTTTTTTTTTTTAAATTTTGTTAGTGATGGTGTTTGCAGTTGATAGAAGTTCACCCTTGCCTGAACTGAGAGCCCAAATCCAGATTACACCCCTCTTATATGGCTTCCCACCAGCTCAAATTGTGATGTACCAATCCCTGCATCTGCAACTGCCATCAAAATACCCACGGGCACCTGCACAATTAAATCCCTCAAGCACACTGTATGTAGCTTAGGACTTCTAGACGATGGACTACTTTTCAAAATGAGATTTTGCCTCTCTGATTCACTGAGTTAATTTTGAAAATGTTACGCAGGTCATAAATTTTGCCATAGAAAGAAATAGTGTTGTCTAATTTCCTTGTAGAAGTATTTGATAGTGTTCTTTGAATACCTTGGCTCTTATGAATGACTGAGCCTGAACCAGAGGTACACTAATTGCTCTATTATCTCATGAACAAAACCACAATACTGTGGGGTTGAGAATTTCAAAAAGCTGAGCAAGAAGACAGAAATTTTACTTCCTGTCACATCTATTTCTGTCAAGTTAGGGGGCATGGATGAAGCACAGGATGCAACAGCATCTACCAGCATTGTTGACAGATTGAGACTAAACAGAACACAACTGGTTAAAATAAAAAAAACACCAAAACCCAACAAAACCAACCCCCCCCAAAGAGACAATTTTAGTATTTTTTTAAGAGGACAGGTCAAACAAAAGCTTATTAAGCATGTGGAACTCTGCTTAGAGTGGAGGTATTCGAGCCCTACCCAGAAGCAGAGACATTTCTGTCAACATCCACTTGCTCTCCACATGTACGCTGTCTCTGTATATGAGGGGGATACTCCATTACGTGGGACTACTTGCCACCCCAATTTCTTCTCATATGTAGATCACTATGAATCACAGAAATAGGAATTCAAAGGAGGAGGAAAGGAGGACAGGTGTTGGAATGCACAATACCCGCACACTGGAAAAAATTTTGGTAATTGAGTTGGCAAGGAACTTCCCCTTCCCCTGCCAGCACTTTCTCAAATGCTTGTCTTGGTGCATTCCCACTGCGCGGGAGTCCCAAGCAATGTACCAGGCTTGCAAATGGATATCTGGAGAATTGCGCAAGAATGACTACAAGATCGTCCTGGCAGACTCATCTGATGCAGATGCCAGTGTTAGTGCATGATATTTGAAAAAGGTATCACCTCCATGTTGCTGGTTTGTAAATTTCAGTGGGAAGTTATTTCTAAATAAGGCCACTGAGGTAGCTGGGGTCCTCTTCGAATAAACACCAGCAAAGTTATGAGTCAGCACTAGAAAGCTGATAACAGAGCTGGAGGCATTCCAAATACCCATTCTGGGAATGCATGTGGAAACAGAATATTTTCTCATCTGAGAGATGACTTTATAGTTGTAATAAAAAAAGCTTCAACAGAGTGCCTGAGTAACACTTACCTGAGCTAATTGCTCAGATCAAGGTTTCAGGAGAGAATTAAGCTGAGATCTCAAGACAATTGAATGCAAGAAGATTGCCCTTAATCCCTTTCAAAAAATTATCGCTATGACTGGACACAACAACAGTAGGAAATTATCCACTTAGTAATGATTTCTGGACATTCAAATCTCAAAGACCTGAGATGTCTCAAATTATGAAGACACTGTCCAGTTAATGCTGGTAGCACTGAGGGGAAATGAAATGGATGTGAAAGCAAAGGCAGTTAAATGCTAAAGGAAATGTATGCTAAAGCAAACAAACGGTTGTGAATTACTTTCTGCTATCAGACATTCATCCAGACACTATGCTGTGAGATATAAGGCAGGAGCGGGGGAACAACATGACTTTCCCTTTGATCTGGCCTGAGTCTATGGGTAGGTCAGCTGAAAAAGTTGTGGGAACTGAAATTACTGTGGCCACATGGGAGCTTTGGTATGAAAACTGACTTGTCTTACTTGATCTTTACCAGGATTCTTGGCAGTAACAATATGGGTGGAGGAAAAATGTGCATCACTTGACTTCACTGAAGAATCATAAAGGCATCCTCTAGTAAAAACTCTGAATCAGTTTCTCCTTGCAGCAAAATCCAGGCTAGTTCTTCATTTGTTATAAGATCAAGATCAAAGCGAAGATCAAATCAGTTTGTTCTCCAAGGAGATGTTACCAAATGGGGGCCCCGTGATGAGTTATATAGCTCAGTATTTGACAGAAGTCTTCCTTTAACATGCTCTTCAGGTGCTGTGTATGTTGGCAATTTAATAACAAATAAACAAAATCAGAATAAACTGAAAGAACAGAGATTTTCTCCAGTTAGGACTGAAGACAAAATGCCAAATTGCATGAGAATAGTTAGGTTCTATGGGAAGACCAATAAAAACTTTCATTTCCTTGGTACAAACCAATCTGAAGTAGACTAAATGGAGGGGACAAGCACTCATAGCCATTATACAAAAATGCAGACAGATGCTCGAGTCCTCCCCCAAACTGGGTATTATTGACGTATTTGCATGCTTCTGTTTCTAAGTTAAGATATCCTCAGCTGGTGCAAGCTAATATAACCCAATTCAAGGCATACTATTTTATTACTCCACAAAAGAATGTGCATTCCATTTATGTATAAATAGTATGTGTTGCAGTTACGTATAAATACACATGATGACTTGCCTCATGTGCCCTCTGTTGCTCTAAAAGGCTCTGGTAGTTTCCCGAAATCTCTGCCGCTAGCTTCTGCTCAGTCTGAACTAATAAATCCATCCAAGTCTCACATTTCTCCAAGAAGGTCTGCTGCTGCAGCAAGAAAGACTGCAGCTTACTGAAAGAAAAAAAGATGGATTGAGGTAAGGTCTCCTCCTCTCACACGCAGTGTTAAGAGTCTTGCAATAACTTTTCCAGCAGAATTCCAAATCAGAGAGTAACACTTTTCCCACTTAGCTGCCTCACTCAATTTATTTAGTCCACACTTTGAAAAGTAGCAGTCTTCCTCATTTCAAATTCTGTTAATTTGTGGCAAAATCAACATCTCAGCTCACTGGCTTCGCTCTTTACTTATAAGTATAACAAAGAAAAGGAGCTTTGGTTAATGAAATATCTGAAACGTTTTCTATATTCTGCAAAAGATATACTTTCTAGCTGTTGTAATCTAAGAAAACTATACAGCAGTCTTTAACTATCCCCACCTGAATCTCTCCGTAGTCTGAGATGAGATCAGAGACCAATGTCTGTTCAGGTTCTGCATCCTTTTGATTTCTTTATCATTCAGAGGAAGCCTGTAACCCAGCTCATTAAGACGGTCCAAATCCGGGGTCATGCTGCTGAATTTCAACATCTGACTCTGCAACAAACAATAAAAGTGATATGTAGGAAGTTCAGTAATTACACTATTATAGACTACAAAATTGTGAACTAGCACTCAGTTAAATTTGGAACGGCCTTGGTTGCCACCAAGTGGCAAGCAATCCCTACGCCAGGGAAAAATTGCATTTCCAGTTTTCAGCCTCTGGTCCCAGACTGGGAGAAGACTTATGTTCATGTTTAAATGTGCACAAAGAAGTAAACTCAAATTCCACTGAAGTGTTTTGCTGAATTGGGGATTTACCACTCAGAGCTGCAAAAGTAGGCTAGTGTTTGAAGCCATATCTTTATATTGTCAAAAAAGTGAGCCTTTTTCCTTGTTTCTTAGCCTGAGTGCTAGGCTGGCAAATTCCCACTGAACTTATTCAACTTTTTATTTTTAGTTTTTTATTTTGCAGTACAGAAATATCCAGTTCACTACGTTAGGAAAATGACCTGCTTTTTAGCATGCCCAAGTGGAATTAGTTAATCCTGATAGAAAAATAATGGAAGATTAAAATGACAAAAACAGCCTAGATGGCAAAGTTCATTAACTTCCTGTCAGGGCCTCTGAAAGAAGAAGAGGGAAAAAAAAAAAGCCCCACAAAAAGAAAGAGTGAAAGAACTCAAATGGAGATCACATGGTATACAGTATGAATTTTTCTTCACTATATCAAGATACTTCATCCCTAAACTAAACAGCACTGCGACAGGAATTGCATAAATTAAAAAAAAAGTTGAGAGAAAACAAGATGAAGGAAATCTCCAAAAACTGCTAAAATTTCCATTCCCATTTTGATTTGATATTAATTTTATTCTGAACAGTTTGCCTGTCCTTTTCTTCTTTACTCAGGGGCAAAGTAACATGGACAATCACTCCCTGACTGCCATCAAACTTCTAAGTTCTCAGTCTTACACTTTGCATGAGTGACAGTCCTTTAATATGTATAGAATGCATGTATGATATTTGTGCATACCCTGTACGACAAATAACCAGGCTAACAGAAAAAAAATCAACACTTTCTGCGTTTATTAGTCACCTTGAGTTCCTCCATTCTACTCTGTATTGCTGAGAGATCAGATGAGTGACTAGGATCCTGTCCTTTCAATATTTCTTCTGCTTCTGTTATCCAGGCCTCAAGGACTTGCAGGTTCTTGGCAAAGGTTTGATAGTCCAGCACTCCAGCCTTGAATAGAAAAGGACCCACAGTTTAAGAACTTTGGCCACATAGCATCCATATTGACATCACACTCCTCGTTATTCTCATTATAGATTTGCAAACAGCCTATAGGATAGGAGCAATTGTAACCGCTGCTTTGCTCACAGACTGTGGAATTATTGGGGGTTTTTTAGGTTAGAACAAAAGATTTTTGATCATAGCAAAAAGGCAACACTTCAACTAAGTGCATCACTATCTCCTTGCCTTGAAATAGATAACCTTCCCTAACTTACTTTTATGAAACTAACTCCTCCGCTTAATTTATTGTCAGCAGAGAGAACCAGTAGTTGCATTATTGCAATTTGAAATGGAAAACTTGTCTTATGTTTTGTCTCCTCACAGCACACTGATGTTATAAGCACATTCTAGACAATGCTGGATTTCTTGGGTAAATCCTCTTGTTACCCAAACAGAAGCCACAACCTTTGTTGCTTTCTCACCTGTATACTTTCCCATGGAACACATTCTGCCACTCCTTTTTTCTCTTTAGTACCTGGTGACACAAGCAATTAGCAACATCTACTGAACAAGCTTTGACACAAGTGGTAGGTGTCAGTCTGGTCACTGACATTAATAGGAACTGTAAAAATCAATTCTACAATTATTCAGAATCTCTCATTTGTTTTACTGCTAAAGAACTAGCTGGGAAGAGAGGTTGTCTTCAGCGGAGCAGCAGCTGTGCATCCAGGTGTTAGCACTATTGCTGTCTGCAGAAAGCATGGTGCCCTTGGCATTCCAGATAGACCCTTTCCTCCATGAAGTTTGCTATCCTTTCCCCAGAATTTGGACCTTCTTAGAGGGTCTCTGTGCTGGACTTGAGCATATTTTCTACTCTCAGCTTTGGCTTCCAGGGAAGTCTAGGAAATGCTGATGAACAGGTAACACCACCCTCTTTTCCTGGGCAGTTTTAGCTAACTTACGTGTTTTCAGGTACCACAGGATGATCAGATTCAAGGACTGGAAACACTCTCTGCATACCTGAAGTACAGTCTGTTGCTTGCGGAGAGCCTGTTCTAGGGTTGACAGATTCTGCTTCAGAGAAAGATGATCAGATTGTATAGCTGCTGCTGCTGAAGCCTCCACCTGGCTTTTTAGCTCCTCTCCCAGCTCTTGAAGAACAACCAGTGACTCCTGTGCTGTCTTCAAATCCATGAGTACATCCTGTGGCAACACATTGAATAAAGATATGAATAGTTAACCTGACACTCTGCTGATGTCATCCTCCCCTGATTTAAAGGAGGAATGAAATGACCAAACTCCACCACTATATGAAAAACTTGTATTTACTACTGTATTTCAATGCCAAAGTGTCCACTCACACTCTGATGAAAAGGAAATGATGTGCAGAATAACAAAATGTGTCAAAGTACCTGTGCACAGCGGAACAGAAAGAAGTGACTGCTCAGCTACCTTTGAGCAAGCCTGAATTAGTGATGAGGCAATACTTGTTGAAACAAACCTTTTGAATCTACTGACATGCTGGTCCTAAGCAGTGGCAGCCCTCACTGTGGGTCAGTTCAGGTCTGACTAGACCTCCCTTTTTTTCCTGCTACGAATTACCAGGAGGGATGAAAAAATAACTTCTGTAAATGGCCTAACATAACGGCTAAAGAATGGGACATCAGGAAATGAAGAAATTATTCAAACTGAACAATTTGAATTGCCAGTCCAGATGACTATGGCAGCAAATGCTCAAAAAGCTCATTAATGTGTTCATTTTTATCCTTGCAATTGTTTTGCTTACACGAAGTCAATTAACATTTTAATTTTTTTGTCAGTGACACTTAACATTAACTTAAACTCAAAATAACCAAAATGTAACCACAGATAGGAGATAAACTATCCTGCTGCCTTGAGTCTTGAAAAAGGAAGAATCTCAAGGTTTCAGAGTGAATGGTGTCCTTCCATAAGGAAGGATAAAGACATCCCCAGAACATATACAGTCTCTTTTCATTCAGAAAAAGTGAATGGCCTTGATTGGTGGGAATATAGTCAAAGGATCTTGTGTTTCTTTCTATTATAAGGAACTCAACAGATTTGGTAGAGATATTTTTGCCAAGCAAGAAACCCTCTGATAAGCAGGGACTTAAGACTGAATCAAATTATATAATTCATCCACCTTCTCCAGAGAGAGGAGTTCAGATATAAGCTGCTGAAACAACACCACAAGAAGTAATGGAAGGATCACATGAAAAGTATGAGAAACTCATGAGATTTGGGTAGCAGACATAAAGCTGTCTCTCCTGTGCCCGAGATGCATCAGTAAAAAGAAATGTGTTTGTATGCAAGTTTCCAATACACCAAGTATAGAGTTTAGTAATGGAGAGACTCTTGTGATTTTTAGCCCACAGAGCTGTGCAAAACTGCAACGCTTAACTGAACATACATTACAGTCCTGAATCCAAGTAGTAACTTCATCATCAGCAATGTCTTTGCTGGTGGCAGTCTTCAGGAGTTCATTGGTCTGGTCTTCCCGCTGACGGACTGTGGAAGAGCACTGCTGGTAACAGTCCTTGTACCTTTGCCACAGCTGAAGGAGGCCCTTACTGGCACGCAGCCGCTCTGCAATCTCCTGCAGAAGGTTGTTCCACCTGGTGAAGAGATTGGATGAATGATCGAAGCCTGGGAGTCCACAAGGACTATCCCTGCCCCCTTTCCTCTCTGATGTTTCCCCATGGTCTTTTGGCTTTTAAGAAATTTGGTAATAATCAAGATCCAGACATTTGGGGGGGGGAAAAAAGAAAAAGAAATCTAAGAAATACGTTGACAGGCTGTTCTGACCTGTCACAGCAGGTCTGATCTGTGCTACATCTTGGATGCTGTGTATTAATGTTTTAGGTCAGAGCTGGAGTGTACTTTTTGAAGGGAACCAAGTGTGCACAGAGCATCCATGAACAACCACGAACTCCCAGTACCATATTCCTGCAAGGGCCTAAGAGGCCCAAAACAAGTGTAAACAAGAAACCATTTCTTCTGCTGCAATTTCCTCCCAAACCCTGACAGAATATTTAAAGTCATAAAGCTCTGTGTAACTCCCTTCTGAAATACTCCCAGACCTATTAAAACTCTTTATATTTTTATTATCCAATTAAATATCTAATACCCCTTTGAATTCTTGGCTCTAATGGCAACCAGAAACACGTACTTTCTCAAATGTGCTGGTATTTATCAAATTGCCTCATTATTTCCTTACTAAAGGAAATCATAATATTTTTCAATTATTACTATATGATAAAAATGGTGAAGTGAAAATTCTGTCAGTCATCATTGAAACTGTTAAATCCTACAGTATCTTTTTTGAAATGGGGTGAATAATCCCTCCCTCTGCTTCCAGATTCTAGGACAGGACAGACAACAGATTAAAATAAATTTGGCATGATTGTGTTTTCAAACAAACCCCCCAATTTTCCACCAAACTAGTTTTTGCTTTTGGATCCTGCCTTTCTGTAGCTTCTCTGAGTAAACGCTTACACTGGTTGTGGCCTGGATTCAAAGCCTGGAGCTGTTTACCAAGCTACTGGTGAAGGCTTAGACCTTCTTGCCTATCATGCCCTTCCTATAACTAGAAACAGCAACCTAAAATCTGGGGAGCCTGGTGCATGCATAGCAAAAAAAATTTTCAGACAGGATTCTCACATTTTAAGTGCAGTATTATTTTCCAGCATGGTATTTATGAATCTTGGTTGGCAGCCATGCACGGAGCAAAACTACTGACAATAATGTCCAAATGCTTTGCTGGAGAAAATAATGTTTCATTTATTATTAGTAGTAAATGAGAGAGTTCTGCTCCAGCCATTGGTGAAATGAATAACCCTGCCCACCCCCACAAGCTCCCCAAATCCCCCAAAACATAAAATAATAAAATATAACAAAAATAGAAATGATGGAAAATTGGGTCTATGGATAAATGCAAATTTACCACTGAAAGTAAAGTTCAATACACAGACATTTTCTACCTCATATTGACTTCTTTCAAAGTGTTGGTAAGTGTTTCAGTCACTGGTGGGTGACATTCTTTCAACAATTGATTGGTCACAGAACCAAATTTCTGTAAGCTATTTTCTTGCTTTTCCAATTCATCTTGTAGGCTCTAAAACAGAAGAATTAAAAAAAAAGATACGTGAGGTATTACAATTGCATGATGTAGAAACATTTCAAAACAGTATGTACCAATTACATCATACATAAGAATGCAAAACTTGATTTCATGAGTGTTTCATCTAAATAGAAGGTTGTTTAATATAAAGACTGTTGTTAGATTAATTTGATTCAATATCAAGGTGTAGCAAAAAGTAAATTTTAACCTCTTATTTTCTCAAAATGTAAAAATCTTGTCAAAGAAATTATTCTAAATAAGTACTCTTGCACAGAAGCAGTAAGTGCATGGAACTGCTTCAGAAATTAAAACTTAACTGATTGAACTAAATAAATTAAATAACATTTTCCTATTTAGAATGAGATGAAAAAAGTAACAGCACAAAAAAAGCTTTATTCTGAAAATAAGGTCCTTGCTCTTTCATTTATCAGTCTGAAGTACCGCTGGCAGGGAAAATGCTCTTTTTTTTTTTTTTTTTTACATTAAATATTTTTATGCAGTTTGAACAGCCCAGCAAATCTCCACCTGATTAAACAGTATAATCAAGATCTTAATAAGCAAAAAAAGTCATTTTTTGTACCTATTGTTTTACTGACACCTCCTCTCTGACACATAAAAAAAATGGAAACATAGAAAAGTGACTGTAAAGTGCATTAATGGATACTCTTTAAACCTTGGTTTGAAAAGTGCTGTTCATGCTTGGGGCATTTGGGTTTATATCTTACTGGACTTCAAATCACACAAAATATTTAAATGATAATGTGAACTTAGATTTGCTGGCAAATACTAACACCACAAGTTCTTGTTACTTTAAGCATCTGGAAATGTTTGCATAATTATTTTTGATTCCAAAGATAACAACTTCCTTTGAAATAAAAGGTTATTCTACATAATAGAACAATAATTTAAAAAAATTTTAATTGAATTATTTAACTTAATTTATTTCAATTAATATTAAATTATAATTTTATAACAGGAGTCTCATTGTATTTTATACTTTTCTTACAGTGGAAAACCACTTGAACATGTGCATATCTCAGCTTTTGGAACATTATTTTCTTTGATCTTCAATCTACTGCAACCACAGGGTTGAGATGGGGAGGAGGTTTAAAATGTGATTTCAACATGTGCCAGTAGCTCAGAAGCCTGACAAGGCAGAGTGAGAAACTAGTTTTAATGGTCACCAGCACGTTTTAAAAACTTTTAACAATTTGACACTACAGCTCTAAATTCAAAGAACAGCATCAAAAATCTAAAAAGAAAACAACTATCACGATTTTATTTTTCTGCAAAATGAAAAATGCAATGGCTATTTGACGATGTGTTTTCTTAATGTCGTATGATTTTAATATGCCAGCATGTCTGTACTTTCATTTCTTATGAACCAAAATGTATAGTTATCTGCATTTGTGCAATGAGGACAAAATTAATCCTTAAATCCATCCTTAGTATGTCAAGAGACATAGTATTCTTTTCACCTGAAGGTTATCAACTTGGACTTTCACAGCTTCCAAAGAACCAGTAAGAAGATAAAAACGGGACAAAGAATATCTAGCTTCTGTCAGGTAACTATTCAGTTCTTCATAAGCCACTTTGTAAATGCTCCACTGATCAAGAACAGATTGCAACAATATCTTCAGTTGGCTAACCTAGGAGGAAGGAAAAAAAAAAAGTAAATGAAAAGCATTCAAGATATTTGGGGTTTGTTTAAATTATTTCCTTCCTTTTGATCTCAAATACTACTTGTTCTACATGCCTAATCTTAAACCTGTTGGAGAATGAGGATTTTGCACAACAATCAGCTGGGCTTACACTGACTACAGCATAAAGTTCTGCTTGATTTTATAAAGCTAGAATGGCAGGGACTGAGAAGGTATCAAGTCCATTTGACTTTGGTCCAAAGCAGGATCAAAGAGAAATTGCTTAAGACTATGAGACATGTATCCCTGAGATGGGCAAGTCAGCCTATGCAAGTCAGCAGAGAGGCTGGCACTAACACATTGCATTCCTCCTGAGAAGGCAGACTGATGTTATCAAGCTTTGGATAATGACAATTAATGCTGACCTTTTCCTTATTCTGCAAGACCTGTGTGCTTGAAAAGGTAGTTCCTTACAGATCATTTGGTATCTTTCCACTAAATATCAGGAAGCATCTAAAAAGCTTCAATTACAAGAATTAAAAGCATCCTTGAAATGGGAAATATTATACCCATTTTAGGCGGAGTGTACACACAAACTTGGGGATGGATAGAAACCGGGACACAATTCAGAATCTCTTCCCCTACAATACAGAAGAAATTTACTAGTTGTAAACTGCTAATTCTCCCTCCCCTCCATGCCCTATTCCTGGAGCTATAATTTGCCCCTTGATGATTCTTTTACCATGTGATCCAAATTGGCCCAGGAATGGTTAATTTCTTGCAGTGTACTCATAACAGCAGAAGAGACTTCTTCCTTCTTGTTCTGTATCAAAGAAAGACCACTCTGTTCTACATTTTCTACTTCTTTTTCCTTTGTTCTTATTGATTCTTCCAATTCCTAAAACCAAACCAAAACAAAAACCCTGAGTATTTTTGTTTGTTTAATTGGATAGATAATGCCTTTAGATAGAAAAGATGCCCATAAGCTCCTTAGTTTAAAAATAGGAAAGTAATGCTTGCATACTTTGGCTTTTTATTCTCAAGAGAATCATAACTCATCAGCAATTTTATTTAATATTCTATGTTCCCTTTAAAGCATAGTTGTTTGTCTTTAATTTAAATAGAAGCATGTCCTCTACATTAAACTTGTGTAATCTTCTGCTCCCATGTAAGAGTCCAAAACTCATTAAAAATAGGACAGCATTTTGAATACATGGGAAAATTGTTGTGTGTCTTAGTTTGTCCTAGAACACTGAGAGGGCTTTTTAATTAGTCCAAAACTGGCTCAAGCCTCTGGAAAGAAAATGAATTTTGCCACCCAAGGAAAAGGACAAAATGACTTCCTAGGGAACGATGTCAATTTGCCATGCCTCCCCACATGAAGTGGAGTCTTTATTCCTTTGCCAGGTCCCAGCAAAGCCTCTTGCCCGAGGACAGTGAGCCTTCCCCTAGATGACAAGTTCACTGGAGTCCAGCCAACGGCAACAAGCAACAGACTGCAGGAATTTTCCTTATTGCCTCCTCAAGGTTGCATACCGCTGGGAAGCATTAATGAGCTTGATAGCATTTTGCTCTGCTCAGAGTTCCCACACACTAACCCAAGAAAACAGGAAGAAAATGAACAGTTGGCGTGAAAACAAGTGAAGAAAACAGGGCTGAGTACATAAGCACTGAGGCCATGACAACTTCTTAGTGGCTTGTTTTGCTGCTTCAGGCAAGCGCTGACTGTGTTGTTGATTTAAGATGACCCTAGATTGGTCACGGAAATGCTGATTCAAAGTTTGCCGGTTTTATCATGTTTTATCAATAACTGAAGTGCAGAAGCTCTGGTATGTAACATTCACTAGTCACAAAGCCTATGATCTTCCTCATGTTTCAATAGCATGAGAATGAAGAAAAGAGAACAAGAAGACTTGGTGAGCAACTATGAGTCATATAGCATGTTCCCATAAGCTCGTTCCTAGCCAGGAAACTACCTATATAATTTTTTCATGGCACGGTGCAGGCACATCCAAGAAAGTCCTGCAGTGCTCTGACTCATATGGAAGCTGTGTAGCTTCAGGTAGTACAAACACTGAGTCTGAGCAGAGTGGGGAAGTATGGCTTGTAGGCTTCAGGCCAGCACAAATTTGTGTTTACCTGTCTGGAGATCATAGAATCATAGAATCATAAAGGTTGGAAAAGACCTCTAAGATCATCGAGTCCAACCATCAACCCAACACCACCACGCCCACTAAACCATGTCCCTAAGCGCCTCATCTACACGTCTTTTAAATACTTCCAGGGTTGGTGACTCATCCACTTCCCTGGGCAGCCTGTTCCAAGGCTTGACCACTCTTTCAGTAAAGAAATTTTTCCTAATGTCCAGTCTAAACCTCCCTTGGCGCAACTTGAGGTCACGTCCTCTTGTCCTATTGCTTGTTACTTGGAAGAAGAGACCAACCCCCACCTCGCTACAACCTCCTTCCAGGTAGTTGTAGAGAGCAATAAGGTCTCCCCTCAGCCTCCTCTTCTCCAGGCTAAACAGCCCCAGTTCCCTCAGCTGCTCCTCATAAGACTTGTTCTCCAGGCCCTTCACCAGCTTCATTGCCCTTCTCTGGACACGCTCCAGCACCTCAATGTCCTTCTTGTATTGAGGGGCCCAAAAGTGAACACAGTATTCGAGGTGCGGCCTCACCAGTGCCGAGTACAGGGGCACGATCACATCCCTGCTCCTGCTGGCCACACAAAGTAGTCAGCATGATATGGAAAGCAGACTGTGAGGTGAATGCAATCTTGGGATGCCTCTGCATTAAGTAGTACATCTTGTGATCTCAGGTTATATTTTAATTTTCTGCAAGCCTTTCCTTACTGAGAGAGATGGATCAACAGGGAAGGAAAAACAACACAACAAAACTCTGGGCAAACTGCAAGTCCATGTCTTTCAATAAATTACTCTCCCTGCGAATCAAAACAACCGCAACCACCACCACCGCAACCACCACCACCGCAACCACAAGTGAACCATTGCCATAACAGACTTTATATTTTAGATAGTAGGGAGAGTATTTGGAACTAAATTCTGCCCAGTTTTGCAAACAGTTGCTATTAACAGAATTTATCCCTGCACATGTACAGCACACTTTTGCCTATATACAAATACGTGAGAGCATTTTTGCTGTACTGTTTATTCTTAGTCTTTTCTTCTGTATTATTTCACATTTCTTCAAACTTCTAGCCATGACCTTGTTCCAGATTACAGCCTTGGAGTGATACATCTTTTTTTACCAGCTGACACAAAGCAAACACTTCTAAGTTGTACTTAGTAAATTTTACTATTAGTGGATTTTAACACTAAAAAAGGCATTTAAGTTTGTACAAGGCTGCTCCAAAATTCAGAATGTAAAACATGCAAAAGTTTCAAACACCAAGAATAGCAAATATTTCTGGTTCTCTGTGAAAAGGGGTTTCTTATTCATCATTTTAAACTCATAATTGAATTAAAGACACATTACTGATTCTGATCTGTGATGGGAAAAAAATGGTTGCCTTCACTTATTATTGTGACACTAGGCAGCAACTAACATCGGTTAATAAATAAACTGCAGCTTTTGTACTGGATGAACCGGATACCTGGGAGTGTCTGATACAGTTATTTCTTAAACAATTTGTTTCTCTGCTGATCAAAGTTTTGCCATTCATAACTGACTCCCCAAGTGTATTTGCTAACTTCCCTGACCAAAAGGAACCATAAAGGTGATAAATCAGATTCAGCTTTGAACTCCAGCCAAGCACAGCCTGCCGATTATGTCAGGCTATGCTAAATTACCCTTGCTTCAGTCGTATGGGCTTATTGTGCTCATACCATTCTCCTTCAGTCTTTTGAAAGCAAAAGGGAATCCAGCACTATTTCCTTCTCTGGATAGTTGAATATTTGAAAAAATTTGATTCCTAGCACATATTGAATAAAAGCATAAAGCCTCCTTGGATTCTAGCATTTTTCTTTGAATAGTCAGGTGGAATATCTCAGGTGGAAAAAGAATGTAAAAAAAGGGGGGTCGGAGGAAAGATAGTGATAAGGCAGAAAAATGTTTCTGACAGTTCAAGCATAGTGTTCATGACATCAAGTTCCATAAGACTGGCTAAACAGGATGGGAACATATTCCTTTGATGGCCTTTCTAGTTCAGTATCCCTGGCATGCTTGGAAATGTCCATGCTTTAATACATAATGCAAAAAGAATAATGACTTTGGTTGCTTTTAAAGATCTTTGGGACATTATTGTTCCTTTCTTATTGCTTTCACTTTAGGAATGAAATCTCTCCCTCATTGAAGTAAAGAAAAGTTCTGTCACTGACTTCACTGATACGAAGATTTCACATGGCTTTATCAAGTATTGTTTCTAACTGCTGGAAAGAGAATATCGTTATTTATAAGGGGACATTACCTGACAGTCTTTCAAAGCATTCTGTACTGAAGCCTGGTCTCCAATTTTCTGTTGCTGTTTCAGCTTCTTCTCTTGGGTTTCAAACCAAGTTTTTAGGCACTGCACGTTATTTTCGTATTCTGTCCAGGATTCCTGCAGACTTTCCAACAGCTGGATCTGCAAAGAAATATGAGCATATACTTTCTCATACAATTACCTTTATTGGTGTGTCAATTAAATAAATCAGTGAAGACCAATGCTGACCAATGCCTTCTCGGAATTCAATGCTTTCAGAATCTAAAAACAGTATATGCATTCAAATTTAAATATATCTGCTATTTGTAAAAGAGTTCATAATAAAAAACCTGCTTTAGCCAGAAATAATTATATGGAGATAACTATTAAAAAATTATGACATGCTGAAAGAAGCTAACACTTTAGCAGAACATTGTTATGAAGTGGAATTCTTTTCAGAGATCAAGGACCTTGGGACTTCCCAAATAAAACTAAGCATACCAACATACATTTTATATTCCTTGCTTATAACTGTATAAAGTAGATGAATATTTATATTACCTCCCCTGTCAATTGACTGCTTAAAGTTACTTAGATTTTTCCAATTGTTCTAGGTGTTATTCAATGGCAAATGAGATAGCACTTCTATTCTTAAAAAAAAAAAAAAAGAAAGAAATGACAAAGCAGAATTTGAAAGCAGCAGCACTGCCATAAAAAGCATTCACATTACTTAAGACAAACCCTACTCTAAGGAATAAGCCATCTTAATTAGCTGTAATCTTAATTAGAACTGCTTGAGGACGTGACGGTCAATAGCAGCGCTGGCCACAGTGATGATGAGACAGTTGTGAGTGAAGTAGAGAAAGCAAGTAGCAGACTAAAGATCCTTAGAATAGCAGACTTTGGTTTGTTCTGGTAAGCATGATCCCATGGGAAGCTGTACTGAAGGACAAAGGAGTCCAGGAAGCTGGCTGATCTTCAAGGACAACTTTCTCAAGTCACAAAAATGACAAATCCACAAAAAGTAGATTACAAAGCATGGCCTGGCCATGCAGGGCTGATGTTAGGAAAGGAAAATCTTGGCTGGAGCTAACTAGTGAGGGACAGAAGCCCTTCTTGTTACTCTTCATGAGTACATCAGCAACTAATGGGAAACCACAGTACAGTCTGAGGTACACAGTGCCTTCTTTGCTCTGACCTTACTGACAAGGTCTCCTCTCATTCATCCCAGGTCTTCATGCCAATTAACGAATTTTGGCATATAGAAGTACTAGCCATGGTAGAGGAGGAAAGAATTAGGGGCTACTTAAGTATGCTGGACATATAAGAGTCCACAAAACCAGACAGGATGTAACCGAGGGTGTCAATGTCATTTCAAGGCTGCTGTCTGCCACCTTTAAAGGTCATGGTTGGAGGAAGTTGCTGGTGACTGGAAAAAGTCACCACAAATCCTACCAGAAGCCATCTCCACATGCATGAAGAACAAGAAAGAGGAACAAGCATGGTCTTACCAAGAGCAAATTGTGCCTGACCTAACTGGCTGCCTCTGCTATGATCATATGACTGACCCTATGAACAAGTGGAGAGTAGTAGATGTTGTTTACCTTGGCTTTAGCAAGACTTTTGATATGGTATCCCATAGTACCCTTCTAGTGAAATTGAGGAGACATGGGCTGGGTGGTAGGCCTACAAATGAATTAACCGACTGGAGTCATCAGGCTTAAAGGTTAGTGGTGAACATTTCGATGTCTATCTAGCAGTCATTTACAAGACGCATCTTCAGAGTCAGTCCTGGGGTGGATATTGTTTAATACCTTCATCAATAAACTGAATGACATGATAGACTCTGCTTTCAGCAGATTTATAGTTGACACTCATTTGGGAGAAGTAGCTGATATGCTGGAGAGTAGGCCTGCCATTCAGAGAGACCTCAACAAGATGGAGGAATAGGCTTATCAATCCCCAAGAAATTCAGCAAAGACAAATGTAAAGTCCTGCACCTGGGACAAAATAACCTCATGCAACAATACAGGCTAGCAGCAGGTTGGATAGAAGAAAAGGACCTAGGGGCTGTGGTGGGCAATAACTTGAACATAATAAATCAGCAGTGTGCATTTGTGCTGATGAAGGCCAACTGCATCCTGGGTTAGATTATTGAGAGTGCACCCAGCAGGTCAAGAGAAGTGCTTCTTTCCTTCTCCTTGACACTTGTGACCCATTTTTTGTCCTCCAGTGCAAGGGAGAGACTGACAAACTGGTACATGTCCACTAAGGTCATTAGTGGGCTGGAGCACATGACATACAAGGAAAGGCTGGCTTCATTCAGCCCGGGGAAAAGGCGGCAAAGGAAGCATCTCATTGTGCTGTCCACTCCTTATGGGGAGTTAGGGGGAAGATGGAGGCAGACTATTCTTGGAGATGCACGGTAAAAGGAGGAGAGATAACAGTCACAAGCTGCAACAAGGGAAATTCTGATTGGGACAAAGCAAAAACTTGTCCCCCACAGGAGTGGTTAAGCACAGGAATGGGCTACCCAGAGAGGTTGTGGAATCTGTCCTTGGAGATTTTCAATACTCAGCTAAGCAAGTCCCTGTGCAATCTCATCTAACTGTAAAGTTAGCTCTGAGCAGGACATTGGTCTAGACGACCTGCAAAGACTTCCAACCATTATTATCTTATAGTTCTAGGTATTTTGACAGTTCACTACAGAGCAGCTAGGTTTTTTTCTTTACCTTTTCTGTTATCAGGCCTTGCAGGATTTGCCAACGTCTGTTCATTGCTCCGAGCTGTTCTGCGAAATCAGTTTTGTCACTGCGTTTACTTTCAACATCCTGGCTGCTAATTTGTAGCACTGATTGGTTCACAAAGTCTACCGTCAATTGTTTGCAATTTAAATCTATCTTGTAACCCTAGTAGAAAAGAAGGGAATAAAAAACCCAAAACATAAGTACCATAATTTCTTACTTTCCTGCAAAAGAGGGGAAAGATGTTCACAAATTACAGCTTTAGCACAATTTAGCTAAAAGGTTTTTTAGCAATTGAACAGCAATTAAAAACATTGTTACTTTTTCCTAAATATTCAGAAATAAACCAGCAATACATTGCCTTTGGAACAAAGAAGCTGCCATCCCCCTTGTGCCCCCCCCC